GATCACAAATTTATTTTGTTCTATATTTAATGCTTAGGCGTGCAACTATTTTGATGACCGCAGCTGTATATGTAACATACCTAAAGATAATTAATTTTGATATACTTAACGAAAAATAAAGAAATATTCGCATTCGCTTCGCCTCCTGTTGATCAATATTGAATATCCACATTTTGGCAAACTTTAACGCAGAACACACACACACACACAGACAAAAGGGATGCCCACACACGTGTGGCAATTGAACTAGTTTCGGTATTCGGCTGCATCTTCAGGTATGCAATAGCATTAGTGCATTTGGCTGCATAACAATGGCCGCGCACAAAGTTAAGGTGCAAGTTTTTTGGTGCACGGCGCCGGCTCGTTTATGGACCAGAGCAGCAGGAGGATCAGAAGCAGCCCTTGGGTGAATGTATAAACAGCCGTAAGCTGTGAGCATTATATGAAGTCCATGTTGTCTGCCCACGCCACCCCACCACGCCCACTGTCTTGGCAAAAGAGGTAAGCAGGGGCGCCCAATGTAAGTTTAATATTTTTATTTGCTTTGCTACTTTGGAGCGCTCATTGCGCTGTGGCGCTTTTAGTGTTTGTTGTTGTTATTATTGTTGTTGTTGTCGTGTGGATATCTGTGCATTCGTGTGGCATGTTCTGTGTATCTTGTGTGTCCTGTGTGGCAACTTTGGATTTCCGGTCTCAAGCGGAAATAATGTCAAGCACGAGAAGACACAACGACCGAAGCCATCCACTTTCCACATCGTTCGCCTCTTTAAATATTTAACTATCTGCTGGGCAATATCATATATGCATGAAAGTTAATTCGATAAGCGGGTTTTCTGAATGAGACAGGGAAAGAGAGACAGAAAGTGAGAGAGGGTAAGTGAACGGAAGAGAGAAAGAAAACGAATGGACAAGAGAGAGAGAGAGAGAGAGAGAGAGAGCGAGACAAAGAGAGATATAGAGAGAGAGACAGACAGAGATAGATACAGAAAGAGGCAGAGAGATAGTCAAAGAGAGAGAAAGAGAGAGAGAGAGAGAGAGACAGACAGACAGACAGACAGACAGAGAGAGATACAGAAAGAGGCAGAGAGTGAGAGAGATACAAATATAGAGAGAGAGAGAGAGAGAGAGAGAGAGAGAGAGAGAGAGAGAGAGACAGAGAGAGTCAAACAAACAATATTGCTCTAACTAAGTCTATACTTATTACGAAATCTCTGAATCTAGCATATGGAAAGCTGTAAATTAAGAATGTGAATAAATTAGCTACTTGTATCGATAATAGAAAAATTATATTAGTTATCGATATAAATCAACGAGTTCATACGGACAGACAGACGCAGATGCAATAAGATGAACAAATGAGCATTTCAATATTGACTCAGATAGTTCTGGTGATTGGGAATATATAGGATTGCTCGATTGTGGTTGTAAGGACAAGGCTGCTCATATTCGATAATATGATGTTGACGATAATAATCATTTTAGTTGATTCAAGTAGATTTGCTGACATCACTTTTTGAATATGATATCTCTCAAATGGCCGCCTTAGCCCTATACGGCGTGTTGTGTCTGCCTCTATTACGATTACAATATAAAAGGGCTGCCAGATGGGTACGTCGAATATGGACTTTATGGGATGGGATATTTATCCCTAAACTCTGAACCAAGATTTCAATTGAAAAATAATATATTTAGAATTATGCCCTTAATTCTTATTTTCAATGTATTCAGGCAAAACTGATGAGTTTGTTATGGTCTCATAGCAGAGGAGAGGCATAAAAAATATTATTCTCCAGAAACGGTCGATTTGAAAAATTCATGAAAAGAAAATGTCTGGAGTTAACTATGGCACAATGCACCACCTAGCAAGAAAAAGACCAACTTTGCTCGCCAATGTATGATAAATGAACACACAATTTATCAAAACGTTCCCTAGGGCTAGGATTGGCTGATTCTTCTTTGAGTCAATATTATGTGAGCCCATTCAGAGAGTGAGAATTAAAGTTCGTTGGTGTTGCCCGTTTCTAATTAATTTGTTGATTATGATTTATGATATCAAATTTGTATTTATGTAAATGGCGTACTCACCTCTTTATAAATGGTATATCCATCCAGTGCAGCCAAGACCAATAGACAAATCACCGTTACGCTGAGCAGGCAGGTCTCCAGCTCAAGGAGCTCCTCGTAATAGGCCACCTCGGCGAGCTCATCGATACGCAGCAGAAAAATCAACATTTCTATGGCGATGCTGCCGTAGAGAAAGTCTACGAAATGAGACGGTGTTTGATTAATTTAGCTGGCATCAAATTATCTGACCAGCAGACACACAATAACAAGCAGAAAGAGAGAGAGAGAGAGAGAGAGGGACACAGAGTGGGAATGGAAGCCAGTCAGACGCACCTGTCATCTTTTTGCGCTCGAGCACACGATGATAGCACATTAGCATAATTGTCAACAGGACGGCAGCGAGGGCATTCCGCACGGTGCCCGTGCCAATGATAATCAGAACATTCAGCTCCTTGGGCGTTGAGTCAAAGAGCTGATACAGCTGCTCTGTCCGGCGCTGGGGCAGCAGACTCCTGGCCAGCTCGAGACTATTAACGGCCAGCAGGAGCAGCGAAACAGCTGCGCGCAAATTGTGAAAGGCCAGCAAAGTTTTATGGCACCTGAAACGAGAGAGGGGAAACGTAGGAGTTTTCAAACAGGTTGCTCTCTATATAGCGTAGCTAGGTAGGATCCACTAGGTAAGGCTGTAGTAGTAGCAGTAGTAGTGAATGCATAAATAACACAATATCAACAGTTTTTTGGTTTAATTAAGTGGAGTGCACGGCACAGCAAGCCAGATAGCTAAAGGACCCAGTCGAATGGCTGAGACTGTGACTGAGTGTGTGTGAGTGTGTGTGTGAGTGTGAGTGTGTCTCTGTCTGTGTGTATTCAAGTGTTCTTTGTAATTTCCACAATTATATTGAAGTGTTTATGCGACTTCCCTTTAGCTAAGTTTCCACTCACACAGCCAGAAAGACTCGCCTGTTTGCTCTTGCTCATGTTGTTGTTGTTGTTGCTGKTGTTGTTGTCCTACGTCTACGTCTGCCTGGCCATAACCTTAAGTGTGATATATGACGGGCAGTGAAGTGGCCCGCTTTTTGATTGCATTGCCATGGTTTTGATTCAAATTAGCTAACTAACTTCTAATAGCCAAGTGAATGGAGTCTGACCGCAGATTTACTCACCGGACTGAGAGAGTAAGAGAGTGAGAAAGAGTGAGAAAAAAAGAGAGAGAGAGGTAGGCACGCAGAAGAACTTTAGCTAAATTCATTTAATTTGCAATATGAATGAATATGCAAGGGTAAATGAGAGATAAGCTTATAGAGAAGGAATTATGTTGGACATAGAAGACAAGTCGAATTTCCAGTCGAACAGTCCTTTCTCTCTCGACATAAACTTGACTATTAAGAGTTAGTTATAATATACAGCTATAATCATTGAAATGGTACCGCGACTGCCAAGAAAATGAACTAAATGCGATGAATTTTGTAGGCATATTTTAATAAGTAGTTAGTTTATCTTTAATAAATAATTAATTGATATTTTTATTTT